AATCGAAAACACATAAATGCATTGTGCTTCAGTATATTTGACCCCACTATCTAAGCTGCAATAAAGTTGTAGATAATTTTAACATTATTAAGGTAATGTATTTAAATAAATCAGAGCCACACCTTAAATATCATAGTTTCTCTTTATGAGAAACCATAAGTATATATAAATAAATAATATTAAGATAGAAAATAGGAAAGAGGGAGATAGAATTTTTGCAAAAAGGAAAGGAGACTAAGAAATGGAGGAGGGGGGAAGGAGGGGAAGGCCATGAAAACTAATTAAGATGTTATGTGTGTGTGTGTGTGTGTGTGCAGATACAAAACCACAGATACACAGATACAGCAATACATAGATATAAATTCCCCATAATGAATCCAATCATTATGTACTGCCAACACATAATAATAAAACACGTTGGAACAAAAAAATCAATGTTTTTGAAAAGGATTTTGCTCTTCTCTTCCTGGTAAATCTTAGTCATTTTCTATTCCCACTTAGATATTTCATATTCTGCCTTGAATTCTGTTATCTACTGCATTTGCAAGAACACGTTTTATTCCATGAGGCAGAAAGCCAGCCCAAAGTAGTGTGAGTACAGAAGAAAAATTTTGATTTTATATTACTTAAGTGTCAAAAAATAATCTTTTTTTCAGAATGGCTAGAGTAAGGAGCAGAATTTAATTAATCAGGAATCCATCTCTCTCATATCTATTTTCTCCATAAAAAGAAAATGATGATAAAGAGCATCTCAATCATATTCTACAAACATATCTTACATAGCTCAACCAATAATATCCAAGTAAATATTCTAATTTCTGTACATGGATCATACATATTCCCCCCACCCTGTTTCCAAGAGTCTCTGCCTGCTTGATTGATAATCCCCCTATCATTGGAATAGAAAAGGAAAACTCCCCAAATAATATGTAAGAAGTTATTACCAAAGAACTGTGAATGAATTTGGGGCAGCTAAAGACAAATGTCAACAAATGCCTGACAATACATGCCTGATTATTTCAAATAAAAAGTTTCTCTCGATCAGAAAAATTTTAGCATATTGTCAAACCACAGAAGGCCCTAAAAATGTATGCAAAAATGTGCTTGTTTGTGAATCTGTCCATGGAGAAGTCCAACTGGGGTAAAGTACAAAGGATTTCAGGGTGGGAGGATACTAGTACTTGGGAAGGAAATACTTCTTCTAAATGTAGCCTAAATGCAAGTTCAAAGCCTTGTGAGAAAATGTAACAGAGTATAAAGTTTCTATGGAAATAACTTTTATTTCACTCCTGCTTGGTTCTTGTCTTAGTTTATCTGTGATTCTGTAACAAAATATCTGAGACTGATAGATTTATAAACAGCAGACTTCCTTTCTCTGAATTCGGGAAGTGGGAAGTCCAAGAGTAACGTGCTCTCTGGTGCACTGTCTGGTTAGCTCTGGATGCTTCAGAATGGCGCCTTGAATATCATGTCCTCCTGTGGTCAAATGGGACAGAAAAGAAAATTAGCCTAGCTATTTTTTAAACTATTTTGTAAAAATACTAATCCACAGTTTGTAATAGCTAAATCTTGGAAACAACCTATTTGCCCATCCGTTGGAAACTGGATAAAGAAGTTGTGGTTTTTCTATAAAATGGAATATTACTCAGCCATAAAGAGCGAGAGAATAGATTCATTCATAGGAAAATGGATACATATTGAAGATATACTCCTAAGTGAAATAAATAAGTCACACATGTG